CCATCCATCCATCCATCCATCTACCATCCATCTACCTCCATCCCCCCCATCCATCCATCCATCCCTCCACCATCCATCTATCCATCCATCCATCCATCCATCCATCCATCCATCCAATATATTCACTCCTTCATCCATTCAATATAGACTCTCTCTCTCCCTTCTTCCCTTCCCTCTTTCAGTGTAGTCTTTCCTTCATTCATTCATTTATCCACCTATTCAATAAGAGATCATTCATTCCTTTATTTATTCATCCATTCAACGTAGAGATTCCTTTCTTTCTTCATCTAAATGTAGAGATTCTTTGCCTATCCATTCATGCATCCATCTATCCATCCGGTATGGAAACCATTTGTTCATTTAGTCATTTGCTTATTCATGAAATGTAAAGATTCGTTCATTCTGTTTCTTCTTTTTTTTTGTTCATCCAATGTCGAGGTTCTCTTGTTCATTTCTTCATCATATATCTATCTATCCGATATAAAGTTTCATTCGTTCATTTAGTCAGTCATTCGTCCATTCAGAGTACAGATTCTTTCACTGATGCATTGCATTAGTTTTCTATAATCATGGCGGCGTGATGAATTACCACACGTTTGGCAACTTGAAACAAAATACGTTGTCTCATAGTTTCCGTGGGTCAGGAGTCTGGATAAAGCTTAACTGGATCCTCTGTTCGGGGTATCATCAGGCAGCAGTCCCGGTGTCTGCTAGTGCTTATCTAAGGCTCAGCGGCCTCTTCTAAGCTCACGCCTTTGTTGGCAGATTTTTTTTTTTTTTTTGCAGTCATAGAACTCATGGTAGCTTGCCTGTTTAAGACTAGCAACAGAAAGTCTCTGACTTCTAAACTCTCTTCCAAAGAGCTCACCGGATTAGGTCGGGCCCACCTGGGAATAATCTCCCTTTGATTAATTGACAGTCAAGAGATGAGGGACCTTAGTGGCATTGCAAAACCTCTTCACCATGTCCGTTGAACATAATATAATCACGGGGCTTATATCCTATCACTTTTGCCATATTCTGTTGGTTACAAGAGGGTTACAGACCTTGCCCACGCACCACGGGGCGGCATGATACAACAGCACATGTCTTGGGAGGGCGGGGATCATCTTGAAATGTGATCAGACATAGAAAATGACTAAAAAAAGTCAAGGTTATGTTCACATGGGCTGCGGCATCACTGCTGCTCTACACCCCGAGGTGCCTTCCCCTCAAGCACCAAACCGCGTTCAGGAATCTGACCTGGTCCCGGCCGCTTCTTATCCCACAGGTCTGTGATTCAGACACGAGGCTGGACCCCATGGCACTGCTGGAGCTGGTGCGGGTGCTGGATGAGGACCCCCGGGTAGGAGCTGTTGGGGGGGACGTGCGGATCCTGAACCCTCTGGACTCGTGGGTCAGCTTCCTGAGCAGCCTGCGGTACTGGGTGGCCTTTAATGTGGAGCGGGCTTGTCAGAGCTACTTTCACTGCGTGTCCTGCATCAGTGGCCCCCTAGGTGAGCAGGGGTAGGGTTTGGGTGGGAGAGGGAGGAGGGAGCCAGGATGGCTTGAGGATGTGATTGAGATCGCAGACAAAGATGGGCCTGGGGTAGACACGGGGGATGGGGGAAGATAGGAAGTTTGAGGTGGGGGCTGGTGTTTAGTGTTGAGAATGGGTTGGAGAAACAGTGTGGCTGGGGCTGGGGTAGAATTTGGAGAAGGGGCTGAGGTGGGTTTGGAGTCAACGTCAGGGCTGTGGCTACATTTGGGGTCGCAGATGGGTTCTGGATGAGCACAAGTAGGAGATGGGGCTGAGAATGGATATGGGATTGGGGATGGGGTCGGGGTGGGTTTGCCATGAAAGCGGGCGTGGTTCAGGTGTGGGATGGGTGTGGGATGGGTGTGGGGCAGGTGTGGGATGGGTGTGAGATTGAGGAAGGATTCGAGAACAGGACCGGGGCTGGATTTGTCCTTAGCCATAGGGCTGAGAATGAGATGGAGATGGTTAAGGTTGCGGTTGGAACTGAGACGATCTGAGGCTGGAGACAGACGAGGGGATGTTGTTGGCGACAGCAGAGACTTATGCTCCTGTACTCCCCTTCCCCACCTAGGCCTATACAGGAACAACCTCCTGCAGCAGTTCCTCGAGGCCTGGTACAACCAGAAGTTCCTGGGCACCCACTGCACTTTTGGGGATGACCGGCACCTCACCAACCGCATGCTGAGCATGGGCTATGCCACCAAGTAAGCTGAGGGGACCCATGGATCGAGTGTGTGTGGAGGCCAAAGAGTATCCCAATGAGTGTGTGTGTGTGTTGGGACTTCTCCAAACCCAAAGTACCTTGCAGAACAATGGGCTCTTCCAAGTGAGACGTTCGAGGCAAGGTACCATAAGGCGTAGAGGTAGCATTTGCATCGAACCTTGTGACTCAGCTGACACTTCCCAGTGAGGCAAGGTGAGGGTGGGGAATTCCACCTAGAAGATGCAGAATGAGACGGGCGAGATGGCTCTGCCCTGGAAATCACAGATGACTACAGTAGCAGAGACTACTCCGAGTGACGTGAGAAGGGAGAGAGAGAAACAGAGTGAGATCTAACCAGCGAGAGAGCAAGCAAGAAGAATCAAGTGACAGAGGACAGCACCTGAACCCTAGTTAGTGCTTCAGGAAGAAGAGACGTGATTCAGTGAGACTCAAGGGGGCATGGGCTAGCACAGGTGAAGTTCAGTGGCAAGTGATTCCTACAAAGTTAGACCCAGTGAAAGGGCCAGAGAGAACCTGGGGTAGACTAAACTCAAGCATTTATTCACTCACTCGACAGATAGTCATTAAGTGTCCACAATGTTTTAAGGTCTGGGGATGCCACAGTTAACGAAAGAGGCACAAATTCATGTTTCTGTGGTCTGCGGAGATAGATAATAAATAAGGAACACGTAGAACATACAGTATGGTCAATAATGGTACATGCAGTGGACAGAAATAAAGCCAGGAAGGGGCATAGGAAGTTTAGGGGTACGGAATGAAGTGCCAGATAGGGTGCCGGAGGGAAGACAGGAATGGAGGCTGAATACAGTGCTGCCGGAGCAAAAGCGAGGGAGAGTGTGTGTCAGGAGAGTCAACGGGGGTTCACTCATGAAAGACTTGCGGGCCAGGATAAGAACTCTGAACGAAGACCAGAGTGCCGCGGGCCGGGTCTGAGCAGAGGGGTGACATGTGGTTGTAACAGGATCCCTCTGGCAACTGTTTTGAGTACAGACCGAGGGGGCAAAGGAGTTAGCAGGGAGGCCATTGCAGATGGGGATAGAGTCGTTTGACCCCCCTCCTAACAAACTGGCTGCTGGCGGCCACCTGGTAACAGTCCCCAAAAGGGATTCTAGCTGGAAACCAGTAGGGATCGATTAGTGATGTCTGCGGAGATTAGTGGGGATTAGTGATGCCCACAGGAAGGGAGGTTTACGGTTCCCTTGAGAAGCTCTAACGCATGGGCTACCCAAGGTAGGAACCACGCCTGGCTATTCCTCACCACCCGGCCTGCCAATAACAGTAAGCGCCAGAGTATTCGTCACAGCATAGTGATGGTATTAGTAATGGTGTCAGTGGCCATAATGATCTTAGTAATGACAACAGTAATATTAGTCACCGTCAAAATAGCAGTAGCGGCTGACATGTATTGAGCAAGGACTATATACACACTGGTCCTAAGCGCTGGACATTTAGTCCTCATTCGGTTTCTAGGATACCCCATTAGATAGGACCCGTCATTAGCTCCATTTTAAATACGATAACACCGAGGCTCAGAGAGGTTCAGAAAACTTGCCCAGGGGCCATCGGCAGTGGCGATGTCTGCATTTCTGTCCCGGCCCCAGAGAGAGACGTACCGATGTCTCCTCCCGCCTGTCCAGGTACACCTCCCGGTCGCGCTGCTACTCGGAGACCCCGGCGTCCTTCCTGCGCTGGCTCAGCCAGCAGACGCGCTGGTCCAAGTCCTACTTTCGCGAGTGGCTGTACAACGCGCTGTGGTGGCACCGGCACCACGCGTGGATGACCTACGAGGCGGTGGTGTCGGGCCTCTTCCCCTTCTTCGTGGCGGCCACGGTCCTGCGGCTCTTCTACGCCGGCCGCCCCTGGGCGCTGCTGTGGGTGCTGCTGTGCGTGCAGGGCGTGGCGCTGGCCAAGGCGGCCTTCGCGGCCTGGCTGCGGGGCAGCGCGCGCATGCTGCTGCTGTCGCTCTACGCGCCCCTCTACATGGGGGGCCTGCTGCCCGCCAAGTTCCTGGCGCTGGTCACCATGAACCAGAGTGGCTGGGGCACCTCGGGCCGCCGGAAGCTGGCCGCCAACTACATCCCGCTGCTGCCCCTGGCCCTCTGGGCTTTGCTGCTGCTCGGCGGCCTGGTGCGCAGCGTGGCGCAGGAGGCCCAGGCCGACTGGAGCGGCCCCTCGCGCGCTGCCGAGGCCCGTCACCTGGCCGCCGGGGCGGGCGCCTACGTGGGCTACTGGGCGCTCATGCTGACGCTCTACTGGGTGGGCGTGCGGAGGCTCTGCCGGCGGCGGGCAGGGGGCTACCGCGTCCAGGTGTGAGTCCGGGCACACGGGCGGCCGGCCCAGAGGTCTTCCAGGAAGGCGACAGGAGCCCTACCGGACCCCAGGAGACACAGACTTGCTGGGCGACAATATGGACCACAGTTTCCCGCCTCTGTGGAGTGAAGAGGGGGAAGGGGTCGACCAAAGATTCTTCAGCCTGGACTGTTTGGGGGCTGGGACTTCTGGATCTCTGGGGAACGGGTATTTATTGATCAGGGTGTGTGTGGATTTTTAGGGGCAGAGGGAGAAGGGTCCCCAGATGCTGTTCTGGGTCTCCCGCTTTCCCCCCGCCTTTATTTAATTTCCATTTGTACTGTGTGATTAGGATATAATAGAGAATTTTATTTATTTTCTTCTGAGACTCTCTCCTCTTTTTTTATTGGGGGGAGGGATGGAAGGGGCTGCGTGGTTGAGAACTGGGGACTCCTGGTTCAGTCTTAAGTGCCAGCTGTTTGAAATTAGACAAGATACCCTCCCTTCCTCTGAGCCTTGGTCCCCGCCAGGTACAAGAGGAATATTAATCACGTGGGTCAGGGCTGTTGGGAGGGTGTAATTTCTACTGTGGACTTTGTCAGCCCGTCAGATACTTATGGAGCACCTCCTCCACGTGGACACTGTTGGGCACTGTGGATGTGTTCCCGGTCCACCCCCTCATCTACTAGGAACGGTACCTCACACCTTCTCCCCTCAAACCCCCAGCCGCAGCCTTACCTTGCTTTATATCTCACAAAAGTGACACGCAGGAAATTTTAAGAGTCTCCACCTCCACGATTCCCACTCATCGTCACCTGTGCACACTCAGGCCACCGTCCCTCATTACTGAGGGTGCTCTACGACCAGCCCCTCCCGCTTGGCTTTCAAAATGCCAACGGCCTCGCTCTCCCCGTTTTCTTTCTGGGTTCCTCTTAATGCTGCTGATCACTTAACGTTGGAGAAACATCTTTTTATTAAAAAAACTTTTTAAAATTATTTTTAATTTTTAAACTTTATTTTCAATTACAGTTGACATAAATATTGCTTTACATTAGTTTCAGGCGTACAGCATAGTGGTTAGACATTTATATAATTTACAGAGTGATCCCCCCCCTAATTAATCTAGTACCCACCTGGCACCATACATGGTTATTACCATATTAAAGAGAGTGACACACACCTCTGTGACTTCTGTTGTCACAAAGGAGGGATGATTTAGATTTAAGTTATCAAAGCTACATAAAAGGTTATACGATTCAGTCCCTCAGTCGCACTGGCCACATTTCGCATGCTTCATGGCCAAAGGCGGCCGGCGGCTGCCACGCTGGCCGGTACAGAGCTAGAACATTTCCATCGTGGCAGAGGGTCCCACTGGACATCGCTGCTGTCCTAACCACTGATCCTGGACCCCTCTCTTTTCTTCCTCTCATACCCGACATTCCAGTCCATCAGCAAATCCCACACTGGTTTTTCCTTCAGGACAGACCTGGAACCACGGCTCCTCACTCTGTCACCACTTTGTCCCCAAGCCACACCTCTTTCCCGGATTACGGCTGCTCTCTCATTCCCGGATCACTGCTCCCACCTTGGCCCCCGAGAGTCTGTTATCCATACAGTAGCTGCATAAATCAAATCAAACCAAATCATGACTGTGGCCTCCAAAAATGCCATGATCTCATAGAGAGGAAAATGCAGACCTTACAGCACCCAAAGTCCTACGTGACGCGGTCCCCGGCTTCTCTCGGACCTCACCGCACACTCATTTCCTAAAGCCCTGCTCCCGCTGCCCTGGCTCCTGGCAGCCCCCCCAAACCAGACACACTCCTGCGTCAGGGCTCTGGTCCTGCTGTTTCTTTTGCTGGACCACTCGACGCGAATAATCCGCAAGGCTCCCGTTCTCACCCCATCTCTTCATTCAAATGTGAGGTCTTCTCCGAAGCTCCCATTGCTCCTTCTCTCCCCTCAACACTCTGTGTCTCAGTTTCTCCGCTTTGTTTCCTGTCACATATTATCATATAATTGGATGCACATTTTTATTTTGCTTAATTTTCTTGTTTATCGTCTGACCGTCCACTAGAACCGAAACTCTCTAGGAGTGCAGACCTTTATCTATTCTGATTTCTTCATTGCTGTCTCTACAGTGGCTTGAAGATGCCTGGCACATAGTAAGCGCTCAATGAATTTCCGCTGAATGAATATTCGCTGAATGAATGAATGCACACGTCGGTGAATGAGAATGAGTACCTGTCCAGAAGGAGCTTATCTTTCAGGAGGCAGCGACACAAAAAGCAAATAAATAGAGAAGTTTATGTTAGGTCCCCGTGTTATCCATGAGCTAAAATAGGGCAATGTCAGTCGCGGGGGGAAGTAGTCAGAGGAGGTGACATCTGGGATCTGTGCAGTGCGAGGGAGGTGGCTTTGTGAGTAGAGTCGTTTCAAGTACATGTTCAGAGTACAGTCATTTCAAGTATATGAAGAACAGCATGGGAAAAGGTCAGAGAGGGGACTGAGCTCTGCACGTTCCAGGACAAAAATAGGCCGGTGGGACTAGACAGAAAAGAGGTCGGGGTGGGGACAGGAGGGAAGGACAGTTAAGCAAAGAAATACTGTGAGGGCTGCATGGAGTTGCGGGGATTAAATGGATCGATATGTGTAAAGGCGGCTCAGGGGAACTCATAACTGAGGTAACTGGACCAAAAAGGGAGAAAACATTATTTTAGGCGAGTTCCCAGGTCCTGGACAGGGTGAGAAGAATCGCGATGAATGGAATATAAGGAACGAGTAAATGCCAGACGAACTGCAGGGCAGGAAGATCAAGGGACAGGACTGGGCGGGAGGAGACGAGGCTGGTCAGGCCAGCAAAGGCCAGAACCTGGGCGGCCTTGGGACCTCGACAAAGAATTGGATTTTGTCCCAGTGGCGATGGGGAGCCAAAGACCAGTTTTGAGCAGAGGAGTGGCCAGATCTGACATACTTTAAAATCTGACTCTGGCTGCCACGTGAATGGACTGCAGCGGGGAAAGGGAGGCCAGTGGGGTTGTGGCAGCACTAGTCCAGGAGAGAGATGGTGGTGACTGGAACCACAGAGACAGGGTGACCTAACGAGACATTTAGGAGTTGAAAAGGCTGACACTTGGGAATAGATTGGATGCGGAGGAGTAAACACGACCTTTAGGTTTCTGGTTGAGCATCTGGGTGGATGGTGGTGTCCTATACGACAGCAGGAAACACTTGGGGACGCACCAGCTTTCTCGGGGGACGTCAAGGACTCTATCTGAGGGTGTCTTCTGCAGTTGGAAATGTCAAGGAGGCTGCCAGAACTCTGTGGAGGGGTCTGGGCTCGTAGCTCTGCACAGGGTGTTGTACTGTTATGACTAGCATGTTTCAGTTGTCACGAGGGCATAATCGCCCTGGCATATTTGGGGTGTGCTGTCCCCCTGACACCAGTTAGTAGAAACCACCTTCAAAGATGAAAGTATTTGTAGAGCTGAAATATATTCTTTATTTTAGGGATGGAAATTGAATAAGGAAGAGAAAGATACCTTCGTTAGCCGCCACTTAAGTACCAGCGAAAGAACACCCTGGGGAAACAAGGAGGCAGCTGTGCGTGTGTGCGTGTGTGTGCGCGTGTGTGCGTGTGTGTGTGAGAGAGAGAGACAGACAGAGACGGAGAGCGGGGGAGTGAACGAGAGAGAGATTGGGGAGTAAATATCTGAGTCCTAAAAATCTGACTCCTAAAGGTGGATAGAGCCTGGACCCCTGGGTCCGAGGGCGGCGGGGCTGGGGGCCCAGACTCCCGAGTCTGAGGGAGGAGGGGCTGGAGGATAGAACTCCTGGTCCTGAGTGGAGAGGGGCTTGGGGCCAGGACTCTCAGGTCTGAGGGAGGAGGATGCTGGGGCCTGGTCCCCTGGGTCTAAGGAAGGTGGCCGGACACCCGGGTGTGAGGAAGGAGAGCCAGATGCTGGGTCGCCGGGGTCCGGAGTACTCACCATGCCAACAGAGTCACACCGGCTGAGGCTAAGGCCGCGATGGCTGCGAGCAGGCACTGGTTACTCGGCGTCAGAGCCTCAGGCCTGGCCAGCAGCTCGCCCAGGCTCGGCCTCCAGGACTCGATCACCTCCGCCTCCCGCGGGGCCCAGCGCAGCACTTCCCGAAAGGAGGCCTGCAGCTTGGTCTCCCCGCGCGGGGGCGGACCGGTCACTGCGGGGGCGCGCACGTCAG